TATTCGTTTTTTTTTTTTTTTCGAAAGGGAAAAGGGGATTTTTTTTTATTTTTTTATTCGTTTTATTCATCGAACGAAACTTTGAATGAATAATTTTTAAAAGTATATCGTGTACTGTTAAGAAAGAGGAAAAGGAAAATATAAGGGAGGAGAAAGATGGAATGAAATGAAAATGGAGATCGAAAGAAGATATATTACTTTTTTTCGAGATCGAGTTTGCTTTTGCTTTTGCTTGTTGCGTAAACTCGATTTTTAAAAGAAGAAGAAGAAGAAGAAGAAGAAGAAATTATAAGAGAGGAAACGAAGGAAATTAAGTGAGAGATGGAATGAAAAGAAGAAGAAGAAGAAGAAGATGGATTTTTCCCGCGATTTTCGAGAATAAACTCGGCCAGGCGAATTAATCCCCTCGATACGAGCATTAATCACAGTAATTATGAGGCTTCCTCGTCTGTCCTGGCTGCTTCATCGGATATTCATGATCGAACGCACGAGAAGAGCTGACCCATTAATAAATTGATCGATAAATCAGCGAGGATGGCGCCTGGACACCTGAACCGGGGCTAAAACGAGATCCCCTTTCCGATTAAGTTGCTTGCCGCGATACATTTTACTCGCGGCGAGTATTAAACTTTATTTATAAAATAGTCCAGGTATATACTTTCGTTTTCCTTTTTTTTTTTTTTTGAACATTTAAAAACCCCTACAACGAGAGGATCGTTGTTTCCCGATAAATCTCGAGCTTTCGTTTCGTTTACGATATTAAATTAAATTTTCGAAAATCATGGATCACCACGATTTCTTCGTATATAAACTCAATGTTTATTTGAGCGAATAAAAATTCTATCGGAAATTCTTATGTTCTCGTCTTTCAAGATTCAATTTCGAAGAGGGGACGAAAATCACTTTTTGTCGCCGATATGAAATATATCCTTCGAGAGATCGCGAATGGTCTCTAATTTAAATAAAAAAAAAAAAGAACAAGCTCGATCTTATCTTTCAATTTTGATCGAACAAACCAAGTCCAAGGAAGAAAATCACTCGTGTTATCTTCTTCGATGAAACTAAATCGCGAAAAAATTGGGAGAATAATTGACAGGAGAGAAAGAATTAAGAAATCTATTTATTCTCGAGTAAACGCGTCCCTCGATCGCCAAGGGATCCAAGAATGGAAGACGAGAATAAATCGTCTCCCGCGAATTCGACTGTACGTAATTGCGCAACGATCGACTCGCTCGCAACGAATGAGAAATTCATGGACGAGAAACCAAGAAAAATGTCGGGTGATGGCGCGAATCGATATCTCGTCGAACGCACAACCCTTTCACAACCCTTTCCAACGGAAACAATATTCGAAAATTCGACGACGTTCGATTCTTACGTCGATCCTTCAATCACGATGATGAAACGCGCATAATGAATGGGATCTCGATTAATCGTTGATCAAATCACCTTTTATCCATCCGATTTAATGCGATATTAATTTTTTACAGTGGCGCGTGCCCACGCTGAAAATTTCCATATTTTTCTAATTATCGAATTACGTGTGTGCAATTTAATTTAACTCATCGATCTAAATCTAATCTAAATAGAAAAAAAAAAATTAGTTGCAGTTACTTAATACGAAAAAAGGGGGAAAAAGTTTATTCAGATGCGATTTCGATAAGCTTGAAAACGTTAACAATGCGACGTTCTGCACACAAGGATCGCTAGAACTAAAAGGTTGGAAAATAAAATTCAGATTTTTATGTTACGTCATTGTTATACAGCGAATATAATCCTCTTATCGTGGCTATTATTTCGAAGATTACAGAATCATGGTTTTATTCCTCTCTTTTAAACGCAAATAGAATTCCGGTTTGAAGGAGAGGTTAAGATTTTCTCTAACATCAAGTCTATAGTTTTATACCTCGGGGAATCTATCTCGATATAGCATCCCTGTGCGCCAAGAGTATATCATATATAGATATTCTATAATATGTACGCTACAACGAATCATCCGAATCGTAATGTTACACCTTTCCGTGTCAAGTATCGATAGTATACTTAGATTTTACAAATGGAGTCCAAGTTGCTTAGATTAAAATTACCAATTTATAACCAATT